TAATAAGTAAGCAAAAACAAACACACAAAAATCTACATAAGCAAACAAAACCAAAATATAGTACTTATACCATATTTAATAATTTAAAAATTTAAACATTCTTTAGTGGCACCAGTGTAAAATTAGTCTACAAAATGACTTGATGAGAGCTCCATTTCCCTTCCCTTACAATCTCCTTTTTTAAATTATGGCTTTTGTAGGGAGTTAAACAAAGGCCACCCACAGACTCCAACTCTTTTTACCTGCTGAAATATTTTGTTCTCTCCAGAAAGTAAAAAAAAAAAAAAAAAAAAAATCAGCTGACTGAACAAAGTGCTCCTTTTATTGACTGATCTAAATTTTCTTGCTTATGTTTTTTTTTTATAGCCAATAAACCACTCTGTCCATCTCATGGAAAATGATAATTAAATTCATAAGTATTGTGTTGTTATACTCCATTAGCAGCATTTGCCTACAGTATCAGCTGGGCTTTGTAATATGAATAATGATGTTTTCCAATAGCAAACTAGAAAAATCGATGAAAAATAAAAATCTAGAATTGTTGCTTTTGAGGAACTAGGAATCCTGGGAATCAAACCTGGTGCTCAGCAATACTAATGAGTGATTTAGCATTAACACATTGATTTATTAATCTTACTACTATTATTATCTCATTTATTAATCTGTCTCTTCAAAATATAATCAATTAAAAATGGAAACTTAGCACCAGAACATACAAAGTTGCAGACGCTTTCTGGAGCATAAGGCTGGACAAAATTCGAGATCCAAATTTAATACCTAATGTTAATTCCAGTTAGATTCAAAGAAACACAAACCCAAGATCCAAGGTTCAGCAATTGAAGTAGACTTCTCTTCTGGTTTACAAGTCACACATACACAAGGTCATTTAGTTCAGCAGAGTTTTCAGTTATTTTGATAAGTACCATCTATGTCCCCATCAATTAGCACCTCCTTTCTGTCCTTGCCCCAGAAAGTCCTGCAAATTTATGAATACTAGTCCAATTATAAAACTGGATTCCACAGTGGGAATCCATGTTCAAATATCCCCATTACCAGATTAATTCAGACCAAGAGTTCTGCTACCTGGATACCTCTTCTTGCACTATAGCCCTACATGGGAATTTAAAGACCAAGGCCTTTCATAATCTGCATATTCAACACTAAGCATCATCTAACACAGTATTTTCCAAATTGTACACTATGATCTGTTAATGGATCTTGAAATTACATAGAGCTATCAGCATGTTTTTTTGTTAGTATCATTACACAGGTTAGAAAATGTCACCACAGTAAAGGTTAATTACTGTTTCATGGAATTCATTTAAATTACCTATGTGTATGTGTCCTGGATTGTAATGTAGAACGTTTTTCTCATGGTTGTTCACAGTAAAAGCGGAAAGGCACATCTATCAATGAGGCCCTTTGTGGTTCTCATCAACTGGATCCTAAATTCTAGTCTTTCACGTATGATTGCCCAGACAATGGATGGAAAATTTGGCTTTGCAATCATTTCTTAGGGTGTTACTTTCTTCCCTATTTTGGCTTTTACATTCTGTCAACCACAACCACGGAAAAGTAGTACTGTACTTCGCAGCTCACTTGAGCCTTCACCTTCTCCCAAATCAGCCTGACAGTGCAGTGAGGTAGGAATTACGTTCAGCTGGAGGCTAAGTTATTATTTTAGGATTTCAAGGCCTAAAGCAACGTAGCCTGGGTTGTTTCTGGTCCACTACACTAAGTGCATAAGGCAGAAGCCAAATGACCTCTTTAGTCTATATTCCCAAAGGCTCATGAGAGAGAATTCTACTTCTTAGAATAAAAGATAGTAGAAGTGTCCATGAGAAGTTCTCTTTTCTGATTAGGAAGAGGCCTCAAATTAACTGCTAATAAAATGCTGTTGAGCTATACTCCATTCACCCTAAAGTGCCACATTCCTGAAGGTAAACTTGCAGAGGCACAGCCTCCTGAGGGGTTTCTCAGTGTGAGGTCCCAGAACTACCTGCATTCGTACTACCTGGAACACTACCTGATTCAATCAGTAGATTCTGATCCCACCCCACCTCAGCCCCTACAAGTCTCTTAGGGTGGGGCCTAGAAGTGTAAATTTTTAAAACAGATTGCCCATCTACAAAACTGGTAAGTTTCTAAAAAATTCTGACCTTAAAGTTTCCCAATCCCAGACCAATACTTGGCTGGCTTCCCCGAAGGCATCCATTCTGGGTCACCCTTGCAGTAAAGCCTAGAAGTGTATCTGTCAGGAGCTCTGAGCATCTTCCCCGCTAACAGTGATAATCGATTCATTTTGATAACCAATGCTTTGAACGATAACTAGGTGGAATTCATTTCATATAGCAAGTTAGACTGGCAATAGAGAAAATAACCAGGAAAAATAATAGATGAAAAGATGCCACAGGTATGTGAGAAAAGCCCAAAGCCGTTCTGATGTTGGAAGTGATTTGAAATGACTGAATTTGTCCAGAGGTCATGGTGCTAAGCCTGGAGAAACCAAGCAGGGAAGGAAATTTCCCCTTAAATCCTTCTCAATTCCACTTCCATTTGACTCCTATAAGATTTGCAGGTGGCCAAGCAGCACCCTGTCAGAGTAGAATAGCTGATTAAAGATTTCATGCAATAGTATTGATGACAACTGGAGTCTACCTCCCAGAGGCCTGGATTTTTTAATGTGCATTTTAATAAGGGTCACTACTAGGGCCCTTAAGCCAAAAGAAATCACGTTCAGGTGGAATTTCAGTGGGTGTGGGCAGGAAGAAGTAGGAATGGGGTGGGGACAGGAGAAAGAGGAATGTTTTCTAATCCAAAACACGTAAGACAGGAAAGTGTCTCGTCAGTGTGGGCCAAGACCTCACCCAGAATGTATGGAACACGTAGCAACATCAGGGGCTCAAGGCAGTGCCCCTGGGACACACCCAGACAATCCAGGGACACAGTTCCGACTATTGATCAGAAGGCGGGACGTTGCACGTGACAGTGACTAGTGTTCAGTGACCTAATCTATGCAATGGTGCACCTACGAAGCTTTCGGTAAGTGCTCAGTATGTTCCTCAGACACTTCTATTAGCCAGATGGCATCCCAATTATCACTCAGAGCTTTTTAAAATACATCACTGTCACTTCTCCGAAAGTAACAACATGATCTTATGCAATCAGAACTCCTTGGGGAGTGTCCAAAGACAAGGCACGACTCTCTCCCTAGCTTTTAACCACAATACCTTCACCAAAAATAACAAAATCCATGTGAATTCTGGAACTAAGCGTCTCCATTTTGAAGCTGCGAGCGCCATAACTGACTCTGGGGATTTGGCCACACAGGCTCCTGAGAATCAGGCCCCAGAAGCGCTTGGAGCTTGGTACCACAAGAGAGGAGAGAAAGACCTGTGCACCTGAGCCAGGAAGTCAGGCCTCATCTCTGGCTTGCAGATTTGGTCACAGATCTCTCCTCTTCATTCATGCTTTTAGAAAAGCAAAGTCACAGCACAGGTTATGAAGCAATCTCATTAGCAGGATGCAGGTCCCAATGAATATTTCTTCTAAAGTAAGCCCCAGCGTTTTTTGTTTGTTTTGTCTTTTAAATTTTTAAATGAAGTGAGCTCAAAGATACACACTAAGATAGTAGCAATCCAAACAGAGGATCAAAAGCATGTAGGAAACAGAGGCACTGTCTTAGCCCTTATATAAGCTCACACCTCCAAGTGACTGTCACCAAGTCATTGTGGCAGTGTTGGGACCTGAAACTCAAATGATACTTGTGTCACATTTATTTGACTTTTAGAGAACTTTTAACAAAGAGCTCCCAAGTTACTTGGGGTTTCTGGATCAAACTCATTACATTTTTTAAACGTAGTTGAGTAGACAACTTTACACACATCTTTTTTTTGCTGCTAAGCTTTTCAGGGTGACTTCTACGGAAAGTTCCCAGCATTAACATGATGAATTTAGCTAGAGGAAGACTGCTAGATGACATACAGTACATCTACTTAGTACAAGTATATATGCATTCTAGTTAGTATTAGGAAAGGATGCTGTTAACTTTTAACATTTACCGTATTGGGAAAGCATGTTAAGAAGGGGTGACAAGAATTAAAGCAAGGAAGTATAAGTATCCAGTCAAACAATACTGTGCCCACCGTCTTGGAATAAAGCATTACATTCCTTCTTCCTGTGTAAACGGTGCCGGCTGCCCTAATCAATAAATTGTAACCTAGGACCAAGTCACTCCTACAGTCACATCTTTAATGTTAGAAGACAAAAATGTCGACGGGCTTGCAAGAAAAGTTTACTCCACTGTGTGTTAAAAATCTCTACACACCAGTGAAAGAGGGTAAGTTTAGCCTGTTTACCACAGGCTGAAATTAAACTCAAGTGATTTGCATCTAACTGCTGTTTGCCGTAAATGTATACAGCGTGCACTCCACGAAAACTGACACTAATGTTGGCAAAATACAACCAAGCTCCCTTCCTGACATGCCAGATAGGTTTATTTATTTATTTTTTAAATCTGAGCTTCCAGAACACACATCGTAGAGCACTGAGCTCTTGGAAGCCGTCAACTGGTTTTAATACACCTTCCAGGTTGCTAAAAAGGTTGATTTCATCCTGTATAGATTCCTGGACCTCATCAATCCACACGCCTCTCCTCGGTCCTCGCCTCTCCTCGGTCCTCGCTGCCCCGATTTCGGGAGACAATGCATCTAACACGAAGAGGGACTGGGGCGGTGGGTACCTTCACGGTAGTTGCTTCCGGAGAAAGGCATGCAAGTCTCATTTTAATGGCAAGAATCACTTACTCTGTTACTGCGGTGCTGCTGAAGGAATTATCCTGAAGGCTGAAACAGAAACAAGAAAACATCAGCCAGGTCGGGCCGGGAAGCCGCCTCCCTGCTCGCTCTCCGGGAGTTAGCGCGCAGACACAAACATGGCATTGCAAGGCAAGTCTCGGGCTGGCCTGGCACGCTCGCTCTACCTTGGGCTGCTGTCTGCACATGCTCGCAACACCCCCAGCAGGGGCCCAGCCACACGGCGAACCACAAAGCCCCGCGGCCGCGGCGCTGGGCACGGAGCGGGGCGGGGCGGGGAAAAAGACTGGGTAAC